TCTACTTTATACTTATAAATACCCAACCGAAAAAGGAAACATTAAATAAACATCGAGTAAGTGATGGAAATCCTTGCAGTAATGCAGAAATCTTGGCTTACATTTAGCAGGCGGTCCGAAATATTTAAAAACCGAGTAACCCTAATCAATCAAGTACCTTTGCCAGATTACTTTTGTATTCAGCTTACTGACTTAAGCCATCAAGTTCTTGGCTTTAGAGAAAATCATGTATGAAAAGCGGGTTCTTTGTTTTTGCCTAACTAACCACACATAAATGTGTGTAAAGACCACAACAAATGCGACACAGATAAGAAATGGGAATTGTTTGAGCCACCTTGAAATTTGCAACACTTCTCAAATGTAGCCAATGTCCAGCAGAGATTTTCGTGATTCGGTAAACAAATAAAAGGGATAAACAAGGACAGCAGCAAGGACAATAATAGGAAGGCAATCGATGGGCATAGTCACGGCATGTCCGTTTATATATCAATGTTTATATTTATATTTTTATATTTAGTTGAATATTTTTTTGCTCGATTTTCACACAAGACCCGTATACTGTATATATTGCTTCATATTGTTTCAGCATCGTTGCGTTTCGTGCTGTGTTCCTCTTCTTTTTTTTTTCCTTTTAGATACATATTTTTTGTGGTCGCCTCTCGCGACACGATGCTTAGTCATGCCCATAAAACGCGCAACGTGTTGTGAAATTTTCTAACGGTTAACAATAAATGTGGGCATAAAAAATGGCATCATCGTCAGCCCACCGCAGCCCTATTATAATCATCCACATGTCCTGCTCATCCTGCACACGCGTCACGGCGATTGCCAGTCAGTTGAGTTCAAAAAGCTGACAATTTCCACTTTTCCACTTTTCCTTCTTATTTTGTATTAACATTTACAGGAACAAGCAAAAAATTTGGCTAATATTTGAGCTAAATACCTGAGCTAGACATTACGTATACGCGACGTGTGCGTTGCTTGAAAATGGAAAACATTTTATATATAAAGCTATAAAATTGAAGTGTAAGAAAAAGAAAAAAATCTGCTTGAAATCGTATTAGGAGCAATAAAGTACAAGTAACATGTGTTATTTTGAAATATCTATTAAATGCTTGCCTTATTTCAGCTTAAATTTTGAGTTAAAGCAGCCATATCCTTGTAAAGGGCCTTTAACATGCTTGATATTTGGCTAAAGATAACTTCCCGAGGAAGGAAATTGCCCATAACATTAAATACATATTTTTCTATTACTCTCGTAATGCTTTGGCTGTTTGTTTTGTCGCTGTCATGATTCATTTTAAGTAACTAATTTATTTAGTTGCCAATATCATTAGCATTAATTTTATTAATTTGGCCAAAGCCGTTTGCATAAATAGAGCCATATCCGCGTGTACTTCAATTCGTTTGAGTATAATATATAATTGAGCAGCCCGGCAAATAATATTGCGCTGCCTTCAAATTGGTCATTAAGTCAAATTCAATGCGTGCCACATAACACGAACAAAAAAAAAAAAAACAGGAAAAATTGTAGCCATAATGAGTTTATTGATTTGGGGCCTGGCCCACAATTTGATGGCTGTGTTCATGTTCGCGTCATGGGAATTTAATATCAATTTGATGCCACTTAAGATTGAAATATGTGGGGCTGGTGTAACCAGAACTTCTGCAAGGATCTGTTCAGCTTGAAATGCCTTCAAGATTTCTTAGGCACAATATTGCGTATAGTTTTTGAGGGCAATTGATATTTAAAACTATTACATTCCAGCGGTAGACAAGTATTTTTAATAGATATATATATATATTCTTAATCCATATGAATAGCAGCTGCCTGTCTGCACGTATTCAACGAACTCAGAGTTCTCAAAGATAAAACTACCCTGGATCCTTGACTTCCAGCTAAAAAGAGGTTTGTTTGTTTCACTTAAGCCTGAGCTACTTATCAAGCTTAAGACACAATGCTGAGGCTAAAGTTTAGACGTTCGGATATTATATAAACATATTTATATATTAGCTGTCTGAATAGTCTAAAATAACAAGGGTACAGGGTATCTTTTGGTGCGCACTCATCTAAGACATTCTATTTTTGTTTTGTTTTGGACTGTTTGGCTACAAATGACAAGTCCAAATGTAAACAAAGTGAAGTGGCAACCAACGCCAACGATTGCCATTAATATTTATCGGCCAGGCCATCATTGTCAGAGTGCCACATGGCGTACAGTCTTCTATGGCACATGACTATCCATATAGGATGTTTACATGTGTGTGTGTGTGTGTGCGCGTTTAGTTGCTGAAAGTGCGACAACTGTGTGTGCTTTATGGCCCAAGGAAACAGCTGAGCTGAATTCAAGGCAAAGCTTTAAGCTTATAAATAAACAGTAAGAGTTTAGGTAATGGAATATAATTGTTGCATCGCATAGATTGACATTAAAAAGACTTATATAATACTGTGCAATTGTACAATTTGCACATTTCAATTATCGTCAGCCAGCGATTGCTTTGATAGGATGTACTTAAATGAAAATACTTGTTACATGAGCAGCCAGCAAAGCCCTTTGTTTAATTATAACAAAAACGAATGAGCACACACAACACACGCGCACACGCACACACACACATTGATACCAGCAGTGTTGTTTATGTTGAGAGTGATGCTAAATTGTGTGTTGTAAAACGATATTTAGATATGTGACAGCGTAACCATTTCCAAGACCTTGATTGCTTTTATAAATAAACTGTTCGGTTGTAATATCTGAAATGTTTTAAATTGTTGCAATAATAATATTGCCGTTATTTGCATTGTTCCCAATATGTAAATAGCATAAAATACATAAATTATTCTTAAACAGTTTATGGCAAAGGTTTGCTATATTTTCAGCTGTTCGCAGAGTAAATAAAAATTTCGTAAATTAAAGTAAACAATAAAGTTGGAGTAGATTCTATCTGTGTGGATCTGATATGACTATAACTTGGAATATACTATATGTCATCCATAATTTTAACTAAGTAATTACAATCCACATACTAATTAACTAACACTTAAAGTCTTAGTGTTAATCGATTCTTGTATTGTTTTCTGCTCTTAAGTATTTTTGCATATACAATAAATTGCCGTCATCAGGCCAAAATGTAATTGAATTATGCACACACTGTGACTACAGTACACAATGTGACTGATTTCTATCTAGATTTTCTTTGCAACTCATCTCTTTTATTTTGTCATTTTCGTTTGTTTGCGTCATCCCTGCTGACAGATATAATTAATGTATTTCATTTAATTTAACTTAAATTGCAGTAGGTTCATTTTATTTATAACCATGTGGTCGAAATGTGTAACTCGAACGTCAAACAATGTAATTTGTTGTCAATTGGGCTGTTATTTAATTAAAAATCATATAAATAGGTAAATGAAATTTGCATCAACTTGTTTAGACAATGTATTGCATTTGTTACCCACAAATGGGAGCTGCGACTCGACGACTATTTAATTCTAATCCAACTAACAGCAGCGCATCAATATTTCAGTATTTCATGTGGCATGCCACAATGATTATGCCGCCCATTAGCATAAATGTAAAAACCATTCAACTACCTGGAAGAGTTGCCCGACCAGGTTCGCCAAACTCTGCGAATGCTGCTGAAAACCCATTTGAACCTATTGTTGTTTTTGTAGTTGTTGCCGTTGTTGTAGTTGTTGTAGTTGTTGTAGTTGTTGCCGTTGTTGTTGACGGTCTCAAGTGTAAAATGTACGTCTGTAAAGGTGAATGAACACTGACAGCAGTCGGCAGCATCGATATTTATGTAAATATGCATAAATAAAATGGGCAAAGCCCATAAAGTACAGCTACGTGACTGAGGAGAAAAAATAACATAGCATACTTTTCTGCGCAGCGAGCAAAATGCGTGGAAATTGGCTTCGGCCTTAAAGCCATTTTATTTTATTAAGCAAATGAGAGCTTTAAAATCCCACCATCCACCTCCCCCCCTCACTTCTCTGAGAAGTGTTGTCTGACTGGTGCGACCCGCAAAAGGGCCTAAAAGCGGACCTTGGACTACCCGGCGAGTGCTTCACAAGTCACTGAGTAAATAATTTAGCGCATTCAATTATGTATCATAATGTGGCAAATACATATATATACATATATATAGTGTGTATATATCTATATATATATATATTTAAATGAACGCCTTTTAATATGTATAATACGCTCTGGCATGCTGGTCGTATCAATTTGAACGGCTTTAACGAAAGCGTAGCCTGCTAATGGGCGCCGTTTTTGATCTAAACTAAGGCAAATTTCACTTGATGCTGCTCTTACATATACAGCTCCCTTGTATATTTGCGGATTTAAATTTAAAGAGCGCTTCAAGTTTGAGATACGTTAAGCTGCAGAAGCTTGTGACTATCGCAACTGTTGTTTCCAGGCGAAACACTTTTATGTTCCGTCAGCGAAACGCTTTCCTATGCACCAGAATTGTCTTAAAAGTTAGTTGTTTCTCTTAAATGCCAGGTGCTACTAGGTGGCTCGAGCTTAAAATTAGTTGCTTAACAGTTGAAGTACTTTAAAATTAATCAGGCTTGGGAAGGACAAAAGGGTCTATCAAAAGTATACACATTCATTTTCCCGAAAGATGTTATTTGGGTCTGGAATAAAATGTACTTCTGGTTGAGTAGTTTCTACACTGTTAGCTCTAAATATTGTTTAAGTTCCTTCTAGCTCTATGGGCGTGTTTTATACTTTCCCTACTACTAGGCAGGTAGGGAGATAAGAAAGCGATAGAACGGCAAGACTGATACATGTTTTTAGCTGAAAATAAAAACTAAACTTCTTACTACTGTAAATATATTATGTAGCCCGAACTAAACGCTTCTTTATGCGCCAGACATAACAAGTGGACGATGGGAAAGCGATAGAAACGCGACATGGCCGCATTTTGTGTATTCTCGGAAACTTTTCAATTGATATTATCGAAATGATGTATTTTTTGATGGGTCTTACCTCTCTTTCGAAAAATCAAATCATGTTAACGCTTTGTCGTCTTCAGAGGCAGCCACTTGAAGCTGTTGTTGCTTTGCTCTTTGTTTTTGTAGGTTTGTTTTGATTTTTTTTCTTTGGATTTTTTATTGTTGTCTGCACTGTCTGCGGCAGGCTTTTATGTACTTAAATCAGTATTTTATGTATTGTATTTCCAGTGCGTTCTTATTCTCTTTATATGCCCATATATTCACTTAGAAGCGCCAAGCACTTGTATTGCTTTTGGCTTTATTTATTTTTTTGTTTTTTGTTTTTTCAAATGTTTCTTTTATTTTTTACATATATATATTTTTTTTTATATTATTTTCTGTTACAATTCAATTTGCTGGCGCTGCAAAATTCTATTGATGAAATGTATGCTGAACAGATATTTAAATTTTCTGAGACATGTGGGTTGTGTGTGTGTGTGTGCGAGTGTCCGTATGTGTGTGTGTTGCTGTTGTTGTTGTTGCCCTGTGTAAAGTTAATTTGTCCTTTGTTTGTTCATTGAATTTGTAGCATTTATGTAGTTTATTATTGGCTTTTAAATTGCTTAATATATATTTATTTTTTCGAGCGGCACACAAAATAATGTGCTGCTGCTTGCGAATGTTTTCTATGCTGAATTATAAATAGCTTCAAAATGGGCTTTGTGCATATTTAAGCCATAGATAAAAGTAGATTAAAAAGAGAAGATAAATCTGTTTGACTTTGTCAGGTTATTTATGGTAAATTAAATACTATCTAGTCGCATGAAAGAAAAGTTATGTAAGGCCCAAAGCAGTCGAGCAGTCTTGTTCTTATAAAGCAGAGATGTGCACAGTGAATGCAGCTGATAAACTTTAAAGTGAGCAAAAGTTTTTAGCCTCGGCCTGAAAAAAGAGTAAAGTTTCTCTATTTCGCTGACATCCGAGTGCTTAAATATTTAGAGAGTTGTGACACATCAGATTGTTTCGAACTTTTAGTTTTCTATATCAATTTTCATTTCTCAAAGTATTCTCTGCTGTCTTTTTCCTATTCCTTTGCAGAAACTTATAAGCAATTAATGGTCAGGTCGGCAACTCGTAGTCCGCACAGTGGCTTGTAAAAGTAAGCGTACCGACAGCTATCAGGCACTGTGCAGGCTAAAATAACTGTTAATAATGAATGAAATGGAAACTTTCTTGCAACTCAGTTGTAGCAGACCCCTTCCGCTCAACCCTCAGCCCACCCCCAAAAAAAGTTGACATTTGAAAGTTTTAAATGCTAGCCATGCCTTGCCACTCCCCCCTCCCCATCTCCACTGACTAGCAGACCCCAATTTGTACGCTTTAAGCTGTGGATATTTATGAATATTTATTAGCTGTAAACTTGGTATGTAGTTAATTGAAGCGGTTCACATAATCCCGAAACCTGTTGCCTCATTAACGCCTAGGCCGCTTGCAATAAAAGAATTTGGCCAGCGGGCAAGGTTAATTACAATATTTTATGGCCGGGCATACGAAACAAATTTAATTCCCTAACAAATTGCCCACGGTGCAGAGAAACGTGACCGAGACGAACTTTAGGTTCATTAAGTACTGCGAAAAATAAAAATGAATAAAACTTCAAGTGGAAACGGTCCTTAAATGCGTAATTCAAAGAGGAACTAAATAATTATTTTTATTTCTATTATAAATTAAGGCAAAAATAGAAGGAGCGGACAAAAGGACACTGTCGAATTGAATACAAAAGTGAGCCTTCGGATTTTATTGAATTTTACTGAGAGAAGCATATATTGTGTTTCTGGCTAGCATCCCCAAAACTCTTGAACTAATCGAAGGGAGATGCACCACCGTGCACTATCTCACTTTATTTCTGGTCAAAAGATGATCAGCACATATGGGGGAGAGGCAGAAAACACTTTTTGTTTGACTCCTTTAAGCTATCTTGTTTTAACATAAAAATTTTTAAGATAAGCTGAAGCGAGAAGCGCCAAGCTTTGTAACCGCTCACTTCAAATCGATTCACTCTTCGTTTTTGTTAGCGACTATGTTCAGCTCCTATTGAACTTATCTTTTAGATTTTGCTGGCTACTGAAAATTAAAGGAGAAGAGACAATTGTTTTTATTTTTTGTTTCGGTTGTGCTTTTCACATCGTATTCTATTAAGCTGCATCTGGTGTAAGCCACAATATTTCTTTTCTGTCTGGGCGAAAGCTAGAATATGCAAACCATTTCAAAGACTATCAACGCTTCTCTCTTCATTCGATGAGTAAACTTATACAGAAGACTTTTGCGTTTGGTTTACACTTAAGCTAAAGTCAAACTAAACATGTGCTCAAAAAGTATCTTTTGAGGAAACATGACACAAAATGTGAACACTGTTGAATGCTATCATTTTTTATATTGAAAATTTTAACAAGGTAATAAAGTTGTGCTTTGTAGCACCGAATGTGCTTGTAATACCTATGTACATGCTGCATACGCTAATCTCTATGCAAAACACATTTTTCCAGTAAAAGTTTTATTACTTTCTGCAAGGTCATAACGACAAGAACAACCTGTAAGTAAAATCTCAGATATATCTAGTTGTACAGATTGGACACGGGGATGTTGAATGGATAGCGCTTGAGGGTGGGCAGGAAGCGTAGGTTTGAGTATTGGGGCAAGTTTTGCTCACACGCTTATTTTTTTATTTTTATTTTTTTTTTTTTTTGGAGGTGGACGCCCACGCGGCGCCATTTGCGCATCTCTGCGCTGGTTATTCAACAGCGCCTAAAAGACTGTCGTTTCTGGCCCATAAACGCCAAAACGCATTTCAATTTATTCAAAGAGCATATCTATTTGTTTTTACTAAGAAGCAAAGGTTGTGAACTGGATATCGAAGGCCAGTTTTGAGCAATTGGACAAACTGTTAATTAAATTTCCACGAAATTGACGCCGCCCGCAGAACTTTCGCTTTTCATTACAACAAAAACAACAACAACAACAACAGCCAATACACATAGATACACACGCACACACACAGACATACACGCACAGGCACACACACACACACACACACACAGAGGCACACACCCACGTGTGCTGCTACCCACACTGAGCGCTGAATTTGTTCACACGGCCACTTTTCACACAGTTTCCTTTACACAGGTCCGTTCAGTTTATTATCGCACAACCAACGCACTCGCAACTCCGCCACGAACTGTTTCTGTTATCCAGAGTCCTTTCACGTTCAAAGTTCAAATACGCTCTGCGAATGTCCGCCAAGCGGTTCGTGTCCTGCGCTTCGTGTGCTGAGCGAACTCGCGCCACTCGCTCTCACGCATCCTGTCGCCAGTTGTTGTTGCTATTTGTTATCAGTTTGATTTGATTTGGTGGCAAAAAGCAGCAGCAGGAGCAGGAGCAGCAGCAGCCCAAGTCCTCGCACAATCTGCCTCTACTTGGGCGAGGGTGTTAGCTGTCTGTGTGTGTGTGTGTGCGTCTGCTCTCAAGGATATTTCCTGTGTGAGAGCGCACTCCGTGTAATTCACCACAGTTGTTCCTGTTGCTGTTTCTATGGTTGCCGCTCTCTGTTATTTGTTTGCTGCAGACACCTGTAGTGCGTGTTGCCAGGAGCTTTTGCGCCAGTGTTGCCAGCTTTTCAGCTAATAGATGTCCAAGTAAGTTTGGAACAAATGCAGTGTTGTATAACAATGAGTGATCGTCAGAATAAAATAAGTTTAGATTCTCCAAGAACCTGCTGTATGTTTGCGGTTTCATGAATATGTATACGTACACTTATTGAAGTCTTAAACTGCTCTTAGTTTTATATTTAAACAAATTTCCTCTTGTTATAAAAGGCTTAATATATTAAATGAAGTCTATGAATCTATGTTATTGAATTAAAACATAAGTTGCTTCTTATTATTTGAAAAACTGATTCAATTATTCAAGAGAGCAGGGCTATTGGGCATTGATTTAAGCAGCTAATACAGCGATTGATTGTGGGTTACAGCGCCAGTATTGCATATCGCTTTGAACATTTGACATCACAGTGTTGCAAGAGCAAATATGTATTTACCACCTATAAACTGAACTATTTTGTCATAGCAGAAAACTGCAATTTATGAAATCTATCGTCGAGTCAATATTGTAACAGGTATATGCAAATGATATGATTGCCTTTGAAACCACCACCAACACATACATATTTAATTTTCTCTCTTCAATGGTTACCTGTCATAGCCAAGGAAATTACGATAATAAGCCTTCTGCTGGCTATATAAACAATGTAAGGTGTATACAGGCCAACACGCGCAACGCGAACTATTGAAGGCCATGTTATGCTCTATTGGGCAATGCATTTTAGCCTCAATTACTCAAACAACGACAACCTGTTGGCATTTTCTTAACACCCAACACCCCGAATCGACCCCGTCACGCCCACCAATAAGTATGTCTGTCTGTCTGTCTGTCTGTCTGTCAGTCCTGTCTGTCCTGTTTGGTAGTTTATACAATTTGCTACATTCTAAATGAACTCTTAAAAGTGCTGTGACATTTCACTTGGTCACGTTGCGACCAGGGGATACAGAGCGTGAGAGAGGGAGGGGCTTAGAGGGAGTGAGCGGGAGCGGGAGTGCGAGACCGTGGTAGATATTTAAGTGGCATGGGAAGTGGGCAACAGTTGACGTAATTTGCAGGTAATGTGTGGCCTGTTGCTGCTCCTGTTCATATTATTGCCCCCAGGGCAGCGGATGTGTGGCAACAATCTATACACTCCCTCCCTCTCTTTCTCTCTCTTTCGCTCTTTCTCTTTCTGTATCTTTGGCGCTGCAACAACTACAAAATTGCCCTTTGCTGGCGCTGGCCAAGCGTGTGACATGTGCGCGTCGTATTGATTTATGGCATTGATGGCGCTCGGAGCTGGAGTCGACACATCCTATCATTTGCTGGCCTGTAATAAAAACCTCACTTTGTCTGGCTCGAAAAATAACACAACGCCAAGCCGACACACACACACACACACCCGTCCAGTCAAAATCAATTTTATTTAACACGCCTTCATTATATTGCAAAATTAATTGACTGACTGCACTTGGTTCTGCCCGCTTCCGCCTCTGCTCCTGCTCCGGCCTCAGCATCACAGGCATGTTAATTGAGTCAGCAACCAAAATGCAATATTCAAACAGTGTGCCCGTAGTTATACATGCACATTGCTTTCTCTCACTCTCACTCTCCCTCTGCCCCTGTCTCTGTCTCTGTCTCTCTCGATATATATAGAAAGTGACAGATTCGAAGTGCAAGTGAATTTTGTGCACATTTCCGTTGTGCTAAACGTGATTGAAAGCGGAAATTGCGGCAGGTTCTTTCCTTTTGCTTTACGTTTCGCCGCTTCCGTTTGACAGCCACAAAATGGTGGCTCATCACATCCTACTCGCTGTTCACGGGTCCCTGCTCCTTGTTCTGGCGACTCCCGCTCCAT